ATCTATAATTTGATTTTTACGTTTTGGCCACTATACGTATACATGAAAATGTATATTTCACTTTTTGAAAGTTAGTGGTAGTAATAAGTTTGATGTTGTGTTATAATATTAAAAAAAAAAAAAAAACTATAGATGCTAGATATATAAATACATAAGAATTGTGTGGAATGTATATAAATGACCCAAACTTGTAACCATGAAACATCTATAAAGCTAAAATTTGAGTCAAACCAACAGTACTTAATGTTGCAGTGGGAAAGCATTTATAATTTGCGGTGCAGTTATATATGTTGGGTTCTCCTTCCTCTCTTTGCTCTTATCTAACTCATCCTTGCTTCTTCCTTCCCTGTCTCTCCTACTAAGTCACTACTTGCAACCTCATTGATGTCGGCACCACCACCTGCTTTCCTTCCTTTTTTTAGGTACTCGCCACCCGCCCGCCCGCCCAAAAATGTTGTTTATAGATTAAGATAGGTAGGACCTAAGCCCAGATAAACTTGGCAAGCTTATGTTGAAATTTGCCTCATCATTCATTATGGCCTACCCATTCAAAGCTTTGGAGCTGCCCTCTACACGAAGGTGACTTAACCACATCAGATCAATAATTTCCTCCATATAAGGGTTTGTTTGAGACAGCGGCACGGGAGAGGAGCGGAATCACGCCGTGATTTTGTGCTATTTGGGGCGCCTTCTGTGACGGCATTCTCTGTTTCGCCACTATGAAATTAGGTGTTCGCAGACCTCTAAGGTCAAACTGCAGTCTGATTTTTCTCCCCGTGTTTCGACGTCCTCTCCCCGAATCTTCCTACGTTACCCTTCTCACATTTTTGAACTCCCGCTACTCGATTGCCCTTCTTCGTTCGGGTGTGCGCCTCCTGTGAAGGTATTGAAGTTAAACCCCCGTGACATATTTCTCTTTGTGATTCTCATTACACTTCTCATTTTCGAAGTCGTCCAGTTTTAAAACGTCCAGTTTTAAACTCTTCTCAACATAACATAAGTGCATCTCTCAACCAACATATATATCAAATTTTCACAATTCTTTACAACGCGCCCCCCCTCCCTCCTCCTCCTCTTATGTTATGTGATTTTAGGGGACTTCTGCTGCATTTCTTTATTGCTTTCAATCAGATTTGTGAAAATTATATTCTCTGAGTGTTTAGTGAGAAATTTGTGCTAATTGGGTTGGTGAGTGCCCTCTGCTCCTAGGGTTTAGCCTGTAAAGCTTATGTTCTAAGAGTGTTTATGTGATTTTATGGGGCTTTTGCTATAGTGGAAGCTTTGGTTTTCATTTTTATGCTAAGGCGGTGGGTTGTTCTTCTGGTTTATGATAAAAAAGTGCTCTTTTTTTGTTTTTTGTTCTCTGGGTTTGCTATCATATGCTGAGAAGGCTATGTTCAGAGTTGTGATTTTGGAATTGAGTTGAATTCCTGTTGTGCTATAGGGTTATCTTGTTTTTTTGTTTACATGACAATGCACTCTTTTTTTTTGGGTTTGCAGTTATGTGGGTTTATTGTGATATGTTGAGAAGGTTATGCTGAAGTTCAGTGTTTGTAATTATAATGAATGTTTATTGTGCTATGGGGTTATACTGTGTTATGTGTTCTTTTGAGTTTGTGATTGCAAAAAACCTTGCGGTGTTCATGTATATGTTCTATTTAGGAGAAGAGTTTCAAATTTGAATTGGGTGAATATGGTTAGTGTGAAAGTGATTAGTGGAGCTGTTTCTAATAAATTTCTTCGAAGAGTGAAGTAATATGATCTCCTTGCTATAATGCATTCATCATCTATTGTATTTGCTTTTGGGTTGCCAAGTAAAGAGGTGGACTCTCTTATCCTAGCTGCGAACTTGTGCTTTTTGTGATATTGTTTGTGATTATTTCCACTTGATATTCATCAATGGATGTCACCAAGGGATGGTTTAATTACCATGATTCACAAACTTGGTTTTATGCTTGCACAGTGATAGTTTGGTTTGATAAATATGTTGGTTGAGAGATCGAGAATGTTAAAATTATATGCATAAATTTTTGTGATTATTGGATGGTATACTGATAATGAGATATGTAGCAATATCCCCAAAATGCCTGCCAATTCTTTATATATGTCATTTAAAGACTTTAAAATTGGAGTTGGAATCAATAATTTTATTTAGGGGTAACACGACCTTGGGGATTTTCTAGATGGCTTTTATGCTCTATGGTTTTTATATATACGAGCTTGTCATAAAATATTCTATAGCTGTCCTATAAATAGAACACTTGTCGACTATAATTTTTTTAGATGAGATAATAATAGTGAGAAATCCACTTCAGATAGTGATCATGTGTAGAGAGAAGTTTTTAAGTAAAATTCTCTAGATGACTTGATCGTTTGGATATGAAAAAAATATTATAATAATATTACAAGTTGTTATTGTAATTTTTATTTATCGTGCTATTAGATGTTAAGTGATGTATTACATTTGATGTAAAATAACAATGGACTCCGACTTTTATTTGAATTGCTAAAATTTATTTGTTGCTTTGTTTAAATTATTACTGAAATTACAGACTTACAACAAATAAATATACATAACAACATAACATTTTTTTTTCCTCGGAAATACCTGCAACACAACAGAGCATCCAAACAGACACACTGCTTCACCATGAGTTGCTTTCTAATAACAGTTTATCCTAAAAGCAGCTTCGCAATTGTTTGTTCAATAAGTTGCAGCTGCCCCAAATAGGCCAATGATTTCTTAACAACAACTTCATTCATTATGGCCTACTCATTCATAGATTAATAGTTGTTCTCTATACGTAGATGACTTAACCACATCAAATCAAGGATTTCCTCCATATAAGTCAGCTACTAAATCAATTACTTTGTCATTCTAGTATAATCATGCTACAAATCTCATGCATTTTTAAAAGGAAACCATCGGACATCGCTAAGTATGTTTCATATTAATGTATTTCGAAGTGCTCAAGCCTCGATCCAAAACTATAAATAGAGAGCTGTGGGGAGATTGTGATTTATATAATTTCTTGTACTCAAACTCATTAAAATAAGTTCCTGAAGCTTCTCACTCTAAACTATTATTTTCTCACACACTATATTTCTTGTTATCTTTCTTGTTGGCTTGTTAGTTAAATTTTGGTATCATCCATGGATTATTAGATGTACCATTCTCAAAAGTGTGATAAGCATAGACTTATGCCAAGAATAGGTGATGACAAATTGGGTTCATGTGCCGTATTCAGGCCTTACCTGAAATTGATCCAACCTAAAACTGCTTGACTTGAACATGGCCCAAATTAAATTGGCCACAAAGTCCAACCCGAACTTGATCCGCACTTGTCGACCCAAACCCGACCAAAATAAACTACTTAGCATAAGGTATACCAGTTGTTCAAGTTGATTTTGGATCAAATTCGTGTTGATTTTTGCTCAATCTGAAATCAATTTCGGGTTGAAGTGTCAACTATGGGTTAGCGATTTGGTTTCGTGTCAACTTCGGGTTGGCAGGTCAACCCAAATTTGACCAGAAAAATTAAATGGGTTAGGATTCCTAACCTAAACTAGACCCGAAAATTATTCAGGCCACCCCGAACCTGAATTTTTCGAGTCGAATTTGGATCGAGTTGGCGTGTTGTGTCAATTTTTTACATCCCTATCAAGAATAAAAAAATACTTAAAAAATCAGCAGAATAAAACTGGCAAACTTTAGTGAATATAAGAATTATGATTGAAGACAATTTTTATTTCTATTAATACTGGCATTAATAAAAAAAATTCTTGTTCTTTCAACTTTAGATCTAACTTCTCTTGTCGACATTTCTTAAGAATACCATAGATGATATTCTCCTTATAAACATTCAACCTACTCTTGGGACTAAAGACAATTTTTCAGAAGTCAAGGCAAAGGGATAAATAAACCAACAATGTCCAAATGAGAACTTCATTCTCATATTTATGGAATTTCAAAAACAATGATGTGGATAAAAATACAAATGAAACGACACTGTCAGTCTTATTAATCATGCCATAGCATTAGTTTATATAGAAAAAATTCCTTTTAATAAGGTTAAATTTTTATTAGAAAAAAAATTATTTCATTGCTGTAGTCTTTTTGCAATTGCTCTCCAAAGAAAGAAAAGAATCAGGATAAAAATATACATCTCTATATCTCAAAAACCCAATTCATAGTAAGGATGATTGGTTAAAAATCAGGATGAACTCGCCAAGTTCAAGTCGAACTCCACTGGCCAAAGATGAACTAGCAAAGCTTATGACGAACTCGCCAAAATTATGGTGAATTTGCCTCATCATGGTTTATTCTGGCATATACTCGTTCAAGCCTTAGAAGCTACTCTCTACTTGCCAGGGACTTTACGCTCAATACAAGTCGAAGACTAAACCAAGAATCAAATTATAAGCCTCCCGTATTTAACAACAATTAACCACCAGTTCTTGTCATGCACTTTTCTAATTACTGTAGCTAAATATGTAACTTTTCTTGTAACGCTCAAACCCTAATCCAAATCTCTAAATAAGAGGACGCTAGGAGAGCCTAGTATATGCTTTTTTTATACTCAAATGGATTTATATATGATCCCAGAGCTTCTCACTATACTCTTTTTTCTCTCTTATCTTTTTTCCATTTTATGTTGGGCTTGTTAGAAAGGTTTTAGTATTATCCACAGATAATTTTAAACACAGCACAATCACCTCGTAAAAGAAACAAATAGAATTAGCTGTCAAGTAGGCCAAGCTCAAATTGGCTAAAGGCAAAGTTAACCCGTTGCCCCTTTGTCGGTGGACTTGAGTAACAGTACTTAATTACATCTTCAACCACCAAGTCACCCTCGCCCTCCAAACCAAAAAATCTCCCATACCCTCCTTTTTCTTATCTTCACATTGGGTAAAGCAGTTATTGGCAGAGAAGATCGTTAAACTGAGATTAAAGTAAATATACGTTTTTCAATAAAAGAAAGACAGAATTTACTCTCACCTCTAGTGTGGTAAAAACTAATCTCATTCTGCTAGCAACAACTGATGCCTCCTCTGAACAGCCCAAAACAGCCATTTGCTCAAGCTGTAGAGTCTTCACAGGTAGCCTGCTACCACACTAAAATTGAAGTTTAAAAAAAATAAAATAAAAAAATAAAACATATATATCATTCATCATTTAGCTTCAAAAAATTGGCATACATAACAGCCCGTCAAAAACAGAAAAACCCTCCAAATTTGAAAATACAACGCAAGACTTGCAGTTTCATTTCTATACAAAAAGAATCAAGATTGGTAATCAATATTATACAATGATGGACAATATGAAGCTATATGTTGACGCTTTGTCTTGTTTTACCAAAAGCAACAAAAATAACAACTACAAGGCAAAAGGTGATTTAGCTTTGCATTTGAAAATACTTGCCATTTTGGAACCTAACTATTTGGTTAAGCATTGTAATTGAAATTTTGGAGAGGTTAACTCTTTGTCCAAGAATGAGGCTTGATTTTCTCGTGGATTCTTACCCTTTTCTTCTTTACATTCTGTATCGCCTTGAAAGTGTGATTAAATTTTATCATATTTATTATAATTTGAATTTTTTTTGTAGTGATAACTATTTCATTTACATCTTTCAAAATCCTTAACTTCCATCATTGACTTTTAGTATAAGGCCATAAATCTTTCTATCAAAATTGAATTTTATTGTTTATATCCATCAAAAGTAATGATGCAAGCTTTTTATCCAATAGAAGCTGACAAATATAGATGAGATTGTTTGTGTTTATTATTCAAATTTAAAAGGAATTAAGATTTTTTTTTTTCATATTTTGATGAAGATCATCTTGTAAGAAGGCTCAGACAGTTTAGAATTGTAATTATCCGATCACTTATAAAATAAAATCATAATCATTAAAATTATATTATGGAGAGCTCAATAAAACTTCTAGCTGCTTTTGCTTGGACTTCTTAGTCTTCTTGTCATAAGAGCTTAATAGCCCGATAGCATTAGAAGGCAAAACTATACCATTATGAGTGAACTGTATTCCATCAGTCTATTAGGGGTGACATCTTGGGAACTCATGTTTTAAAAAATATTGACACCGTGATAATTCACTACTTCGGCATTTTCTTTTCACTCTCTCTCTTTTCATTTTCAATTAATTTAATTATCCAATGATTACTACCCCATTTTGACAACAAAAACTTTTGTTTGACATTTTTATTTTGATTTCATCAATTGCATACAAGTTTACCAATCATTAAGGCAATTTCCCATATTATCTCTCTTTCCATCTCCATGTGTGCTAGTTTTCTCATCCAATTGACAAATAAAAAAATTTCATTTCCTAGTGAAAAAACTTTCTCAGTCTTTCAGTTAGAATATGTAGTCTCTCCTTAAACTCAAAAAAAAGAGAATTCAAAAACCCATTTAAATCTCTCTCCATATGCTTCCCATCCATCTTACATTCTCTGTCTTCCAACTCATCTCCTATATGCCCTCAACCAACCCTCAGCTTTCTTGATAAATATATACAAATTTGAAATTAAAATTTCCATTTAAATTCAAAATTTAACCAATTCCTAAAATTTCTCAACAAAGATAGCAAACCCAATAAAATGCAAGTTAATCTTCATATCTCCTCACAACTAATAAAGCTCCCAAAACTGTGAAACAGCATTTGCGAATGTCCTTTTTACTTTCAAGTTACTATTCATATTCACATGGATAGCAAGTTTTTTTCCCCTTGGAAAATCACCTACTTGTCAACAATCCCATCCCTCCACTTGATGTGACCAAACTTAATGTTTCTGGTTTAAATCATTCGCTCTATAAAAAAGAAAAGAGAGAGAGAGAGAGAGAGAAGAAAAAACAAGAGAAATAATTCTTTCTTCAAGATAGTTGATATTTCCCTATAGATCAATAGCACTCCTTTGTGAGAACAACGGATCAAGTTTAAAAAAAAAGCAGCTAAACAATACATACTAGAAATAATTTTGTTATTACTATATGTTTCATTAAAAGTCTTAAATAAGAAATTAGACATGAATTAAGTTGTCCAAATACAAAAGATGAAGCGCACCACAAAGCATTATAATTTGAAGGATATTACATCTTCTCAAGTCCCTCGTTAGATTACGTGCATGCTAGCTTGAAAGCTTTGAAAAAACATGTCTCTCAAGCCTTTGTTCTAGCCCTCCCCAACTTCAACCATGTGTTTGAGATGGAGTGTGATGCTTGAGTTATGCTAACTTAAGGAAGACACCCAATGCCTCCTTCATGAGAAATTAAATGAGTATGAGAGGAAATATATTATCTATAACAAGGAGTTTTCTGCTATGGTGAGAGTCATCATCCATTAGAACCATTATCTACCGAATAACTAGTTCACTCTTTGCACAGATCATGAAGTCTTGAAGCTCTTGAGCAATCAAAGCAAGCTGAATGGTAGGCATGCCTCTTGGGTTGAGTTCCTCTTTTTTTTTATTTTGTGCTTAGACACAAAGCAAGGTACCAAAATAAAGTAGCTAATGTGTTAAGCCGCCGTCTCTTGTTGATCACCACTATGCCGTCGAAGTTCATTGGCTTTCAGCATTGAAAGATCTGCAAACTACCGACAAGGATTTTTAGGAGATCTGGATTTGTTCTTAGAAGAAATCCTATGAGCAATTCCAGGAATCAAACAGCTGCTTGTTCCACAATAATAGACTATGCAACCCTAGGAGTTCACTGGGAGAGTATTTTGCAGTAGTTCCATGAAGGAGGGATGAGCAAACATTTTGATAGAAACAAGGCCCTTTCATTAGTGAAAAAGAACTTCAAATGATCTAGGTTATTATGAGACATGGAGAGGCATGTTTGACAATACAAGATCTGTCGCTAGTCAAGACTTCCGTGCAAATACGAGTCTACACACTTAATCAAGAGTTTTGTGCAAATACGGGTCTACGCACTCTCCTTCATGTACCAAAGTCATCGTGGATCGATGTGAGCATGGACTCATTGTGGATCTCCCTCAGAGCCAACTGTAAAGGATTCAATTATAGTGGTTGTTGATCACATTTTTAAGATGACATATTTTATATCATGTCACAAAGTAATGGATGCTTCACATAGTATAGATTTACATTTCAAAGAGATAGTTCATCTTCACGGCATATCTCAGATCATCACTTACAACGAAGAAGTGAAATTTCTAAGCCATTTTTGAAAAATTTTATGAGATAAACTAGTTATGAAGCAACAATTCAATTTAATAGCGTACCTCCAGGCAAATGAGCAAATGGAAATGATAAATCTGAGTTTGGGGGACATTCTTATGTGCTTTGTGGCTAGGAACTTCAAGCTTTGAAACATGATTCTTCTTCAGGTTGGGTTTACCTACAACTGATCCACTACCACTCGATATGCAGCATATGCCCTAACCTATTTAAGAATGTATACGAGCAAAATCCTCTCACCATTGGATTTAGTGCCCATATTTCCAACTACTATGCATTTTACTGATGCAAATGTGTGAGTTAGAGAGAATCAGATCATGCATTTGTAGGTGAAGACAAAAATTAAAATCAAAATACTAAGTGCTAGAAACAGGCCAAAAAGTTCAGAAAAATTATAGTCTTCAAAGAAGGTGATATGTATGTGGATCGGGTTGAAGAATGAGAGGTTTTCTATATGATAATTTGGAAAGATAAAACCTAGAGTTGATGGTCCATTCAGTGTTGCAACAAAGATTAACGATAATGCATATAAGATCGATTTCTCATGAGATTAAAATATTTTTGTTATCTTTTAACTTTGTTGACTTGCCACCATACGATGAGGATCCAGAAGCTTCAAGAGAAAAAAACAAAGCCTCTTTTACTTGGGGAGAGTGATGCGGGAGCACCACACCTAGAGGAACGCACTAGCAGGAGGGGATTTTCCAGCCTTGATAGGCCTATAGCAGAAAAACTAAGCTATTTTGTACTACGAGCTTCATGGGGCATTTATTTTCTTCATTTTGAATTATAATCAGGATTTATTTTTTTACTTAATAAAAATTTATTATGTATAATCTGTTTTGGGGTCTTGTTTTTTATGTTATTTGGAGACATTTTTTCATTTCTCTCCTGTTCAAAGTGTTATAGCCTATTCTTCTTCAAATGAAAAATCTATATCATGAAGAGAATGAGTTGTCAAACCTTTCTAACATCCATACTATGTTGCCCTAGCTGCCGACCACATCCCCCTCATTGTTGATTTCTTCTCTAGGACAATAATAATCGTCATTTTTCCCCTTCCAATCTTCACCGATTTCACATATTCTCTTTCTTTTGTCATTCCAAACAATATTTGCCCACTAAATCAAATCCTTAAACACTTTATAGGAATCCTAGAATAATGTCAATTAAAACGATACCTGCATTTAAAACTAGAAAAAAAATACCTTATGAATCATACTTATTTAAAGACAAGAATATATATATATATATATATATATATAATCACTAACTCATAGCGGATCATTTCAACTATTTATGGGCCCATAAATATATATATAGAACCACTTCACAACCTCTTTTTAGCTTATAAAAATAGGAATTCCTTTCATTTTTAGTCAAAGATCATTGAAGAGCCTAAAATGCAAATAAATAAAAAGAATATAAATATATATTCAAAAGTAGAAGATCCTCACCAAGCCATTCCTCGTTTAAAATATGCATTAGCAATTAGAGCACAAAATCCTTTCCACTGATGCATGATTTCAGTGGATACGGGAGACGTAGAAGACCACCGGACAATGGTTGGTTGTGGTGTACACAAAATAGTAATGAACACAATGCTCAACCATAAAATGCATTCTCGAACCTGCATAAACAATAAAGACAGTATAATTAAGTGAAAAGCTTTGACAATACAATCGGACATTGCTTAAAATTTATTTGTCCTGCACAGTTTAGTTTCTTTTGAGGAAAGAAGTTGCAGCCAATTCTTGAGGCTCCCAACATGTGGGATGTGAAAGGGTTTTGTGCCTATATCTAATTAAACCAAGGCAATTTCTTAAATCTACACATGAATGAGACTACCTAACTTTTAGCGTCTTTACAAGTTTATATTTAATTGGAAAAAATATATAATAGAAATAATAAATTTAAGTAAAAATAGTATCCGTTGTTCAAAGGATAAAAACAGTGTCCACTCCTTTTTAAAGTGAAAAGGGTATTCTTACATGACAAGCTACCTCACTCATGGAGCAATCAATGAATTGCATGATTATGAAGAGAATAAAAAGTACAATTCACTCAATATTTTTTATATAAAAGCTGAAAGGCAACCTAAAATGTTGTGGTTGCTGGTGAAGGAGAGACACAACTTGAGTAAAGCGGCAAATTTTAATCCATAATGCAAACTATCTATTCATTCTTATTCCCAAAAATGATCACAAATTTTATTCTGAACCTATATAGAAAAAAAATAAAGAAAATAATTTTAGCAAGCTACTTTAGGTGCTCTATCAAACTAGTGAACGCAGGTTTGAAATGTTCCAAGGAACCAATGGCCACCATCCTCCACTAGTGGTGTTGATAACCAAATAAATATGATCCAAGGAGAAAATTAAGGAATGAGACAATATAATAATGTGGTCCCATTGGGCTAAGAGATTCTTTCCGCTTTAATCCTACGTAGATATCAGTGCTTTACAATATTTTTCATATAAACTCACACTCTATGCTATGCTTTTATGCATAGATGAGGATGGGCCTAGGTGAACGGTGTAAATGCCTCATTTTTTAACTGCAAAATTTGAATCACAAATATCTATATAGAAAAACACTGTTGTTCATGTAGTGTCAAGCTTAACGCTACCAAAACTAATTTACCCCGGTCATTTATAGAGATTCAGTTGCTACTATAAGGACTCTAAGCAGTCGAGCAAAGAAAATCCAACAACAAAGATTGGATAGGTTGGCAGGACCCATTTTTTTCTGAAATTATATATATATATATATATATATATATATATGTTAGTTTCATCGCCTCGCGTTTCAACAATTGAATGATATGGTAACATGTTGTCATTCCTTTTGGAAATTTAAACACTTGATATCATCTTAAGCCTCAGGTAACTGGAAAATAAATACGATTAACCCAATGGTAATGTAAAATGTCGTGATTGTAATAATGTATGTAATAAGAAACGATTTTCTTGCATTAATATGATAAATATTTTTCAACTATGAAAGAGCAGATTAAAGTTCTAGAATTCAAAACCGCAAAACCATTTGGTTTTCCCGATGATTTGGTAAGGATTAATGTAATAGGAATTGCCACAACTAATTTGTCATCCAATCTGGAGTACAGGAGCAATTATGATGATGAGTAAGTTTGATAAAATTTTTGAAGAAATAAAACATATGATCAGAAATTCCATCTAAACGTAAATAAAAAATGCATATATTCAAATTTCATACCTCATCTGAAACAATTTTACATGTCACATTTGTACCTCCTCCGTAAGGTTGCAACCCTTCTCCGAAATTCTTCATGTCCAGAAGTTCTCTCCTTAAACTCTCATCAGTGCAACCAAGCGCATATGCATTCACACCAGCATCAATAAATTCCTTATTACAGTTGCAGCATTTGCCAGTTGGAACCATAGAAAAATAGTCATAAATGAAAAACATTTAGGATGTACCTTCAAGTTATCACTACCTCCTCGGTCAATAACATTCCTATACCTCCTAAAAAGACTGACGGCAATATTACGAGATGAACCATATTCCTCATCAGATGATGCACGAATTTGCAAATGAAACTACAAGGAAATTTTTTTTTCTTTTTGTTGTTAACCAAGTGGATTTAATATCACCAGATCTTCAAAAAATCATATAGCAATGAAAAGGATTACCTGCTTTGAAGTCCTCAGTAAGAGTCGACCTGATATGTGGCCAGAATAGTTAAAAAAGCCGTTACACAACGGCAGTGTTGATAAACATTTGCTTTCAAAGGATTTATGGAAAACCAAAGAATTCCTTCTCACATTAGCATGAAAGATGCCCTGACTAATCTGACACAATGTTTTTGCATCAGATACAGGTAGGGTCAGCATTGCTGCCACATAGCAAATAGGTTGAACTTGAACAGAATTACATGAACTCAAATCCACAAGGATTTCCTTAACAAGCAAGTGGTTCTCTTGTGCCTGTAACCAAAAATTCATTTTGCATGATACCACAAATCCATGTCCAGATATGAGAACAACGTGATAGAGGTTATAGATGCTTGATGATAGGACAGGATGTATAGGTTAAGAATCCAAGAGAAGATATACCATTTTTGAAACAAAATAGTTAAGACAAGGTCTACTATCAAAAAAAACATAGTATAGGGTTTGATATCAAGTTAAAGTTATTAAATAGTTCCCCATTTATAATTTTCACCTCCAATATAAACTATTTTAGAGGCAAAATTTGAGAAACATGTATCACATTCAGAACGTTCTTTAACAATGCTTTTGCCACTAAAATTTTCATCTTTAGGCTTCTTCCATTTTATTTTCCTATTTTCAATGTAGTTGTAACATGGAGCCAGGGCAATGGCAGGCAACAGCAAGCAGCTCACTATGCTGCTTAAAGAAACAATTGTTCAAAAAACCTAATCTGTACATTCATAACATGGGCTTAAATAGGATATTACAATGCTTTACAAAAAAAACCCCAGACTTCTTCAATATTCCCTTTTCTTACCAATAGAATCCTAAATATGGTTCAGTTCTCAACACTCCCTCTCAAGATAGGAAAAAGATATCCACTATGCCGATCTTGTCACATAACCTAGACAAATCTAATGAACTAAGTTTTTTAGTGATTAGGCAGTCAACTACTTGCTCTTCAATGACTACATGATTTGGCTCTAGTAATTATTCAGCTTTTCCTTGATGGAGAATCTATCAATCTCCACATGTTTGGTTATGTCGTGTTGCACCGAGTTGTTGGCAATGTTGATTGCTGATTTGTTGTCACACCACAACTTCATTTGAGTTCCTTGAGTTCCTTGGTCCACCTTCTTGGTCCACCTTGAGCTTGACCAACAAAGCTCTCAACCACATCATCTTGGCAACTCCTAAGACCATGGCTTTGTACTCTGCCTCTGTTGTTGACCTCGCTACTACAGGTTGTTTCTTGCTCTTCCAAAAGACCAAGTTGCCCCCAATGAATATTCAGTATTCTAAGGTAGATCTTCTGTCATCTGCACAACTCGCATTCAATATCATAAAATCCCTCAAAGCATGCTCATTCTTCCTAAAGATCAACCGCTTCCCTAATGCACTCTTCAAGTACCTCAGAATCTAACACACTGCATCCATATGCCCCTTCCTTGGATAGAGACTCACCACGCTCACTGCAAAAGAGATATTGGGTCAAGTGTGACAAAAATAGATTAAACAATTCACCAATCTTCCGTACCTCTCACGATCAAAAGGTTCCTCTACCTCTGCACTCACCTTAGCCTTCTAAGTAATTTGAAAGACTACAGGTTTGCATCCCAACATGCCTGTTTCCTTGAGATCTAGTTCATGCTTTCTTCGGGATAAGATCATCCCTTCAGATCCACAGACCACTTCAATCCCAAGAAATTATTTGAGTTGTCTAACATCATTCACCTAATATTCATTGTCAATCCTACATTTAGTTGAGCAATCTCTGTCCCATCATCACCAGTGACAATTATGTCATCAACATACATAGTTAGTATAGTGGTGCGACCTTCATGTTATTGAAAAAACACCACATGGTCTGCATTAATCTGCTGTCATCCCATGCCCACCATAGTCTTTCTAAAATTGTTAAATCGAACTCGATGAGACTGCTTCAAACCATACAGTGACTTCTTGAGCCTACACACTTTGTCCACTATCTAAACTATATCTAATCTTAATGGTATCTCTATACATACCTCCAACAACTTACCATGAAGAAATACCGTTTTTACATCAAGTGTAACCTTCACCCAACATTCACTGCCAGAGAAATCGGTATTCTCCCAATGCTCATCTTTGTTACTGGTGTAAAGGTTTCATCACTGTCAATGTCATATTTCGGACTGCACCCTTTCTCCATCACTCGTGTTTTGTATCACTTCCATCTTCCCTTCTGAAATTTACTTTGTTGTGATGATGATCCACTTGCACCCAACTGTGTTTTTCACTGCTGTCAGTGACATTATCTCCCATGTTCGATTTTTATTGAGTGTCTTAAGCTCTTCATGCAACTGCTTTTCACTTGGGATCATCATTAGGAACCTGCCAACACTTAGGTATAGAAACAGTGTCCAATAATGTGATGATGCTCCATATAAAAGTGTTATGTTAGAATATAAAACAAAGTTAGCAATATCATATTTTCACCCAAAACAGTCGAGAGAATGTCTCGCATTGCTGCGAGAGGTCTTCCTTAAAGTTTGAAGGTTAGGAGAAGAATCAATCATAGCATCTAGGAGTTTTGTAGGGCTATTAAGAGTCGCAAAAAGACTAAGACAAGGAATTAGCTGGTATGAGTGAAATTGCAAACCACATTCCCTCATTTTGTTTCCTTCACCGTGTATACACCCTTAGCTCACCTTCAGCTTGAATCCCACCATCTCTGGATTTACTCTTCTCATTTTCTGGTTACTCAACCAATTCATCTCACATCACAGGATAAAGCATAACTCCCACTTATATCAATCTCTCACCATTGCTACTCACCCCCGTGTTAATTGCATATTAACAATTTTCATGAACTAACTTTAGTAATTTTAATTTATCAAACAATTGAATTAAAGGACGATAGAAAAGTCAAAGTGCTGGGAAAGTGATAAGTATTTCAGAAGCCACTTAAGATTAAGGTGAGTGGTTATTTTTTATGCATTAAATTAATGTTTAATTAAATGAATAATTACAATAAATGATTTAAAAAGTATTTCATTCATGAAAATCATTTTGAATATCTAAAATAGTATAAGAGATGTGAGAAAAACAACGAATTGATAAAGGTACATCTTAAATTATTTGAAATTCATATGAATTGAAAGATAAATGTTAAGTTATACATGATTACCTCTAGATGGTACTGATAGAGAATGCAATGTACTCGGGCATGTTAAAGAAAATGGTAAAGGTGTACTCTCGGGTATAATATAAGAGTACATTCGAGTAAAATTTTGAGGGTGTCTTCGGACACATTTTTTAGGAAATTTTCGGGTATGACGGTAATCCCGTGATAACTATTAAAGAGGTTAAATTGATAATTACTTAAAATGAAATGAGAATTGGTAAATTTAATGTTTTAATAAAATGAATTGAATTTACTTTTAGTCATTCATGCATAGTATAAAATAAAAATTTAATGTATATTAAATTATAATTACTCACTAAATTATCTTATTGTTGCAATTAATATCTTCTTTTAGGAGAAAAATAACTTTAGATTAATATATTATATCTAGCAGGAGAGATTTGGTTTATAGATGAAGGACTGCAATTGATAAGTACAAGTTATGTTATGTTTGTAGTTTCTGTTTACTCTATTCATTTACTGTTTACTACTAGTTTGAGATATAATTTTCAGATTATGTTGATGTTTCTAGATGTTTACTTTGATTGTACTTTGTAGATTAGTTGCTTTTTTATATATTGAGAGTTTCTGAAACATTTTGCAGAAAATAAAATGAAATGTTATACCGTCTGACTGTAGTTCCCGCCTGAGTTTGTTATAAGCATTAGGTCGGGTCGTGACATGGGTTCTATCAGACATACCCCTTCTAAGTAATAGAATAACCTACAAACACATATTTCATATCTCCGGGATTCAGCTTCCATACTAATGACCTGTTATCCTTCACAAAACATACGCATTCAAACACTTTTAATGGGAAAACCACACTATTAGCTTCTTTCAACATCTAACAAGGAGGCTTCCAATCAACAGCGCAAAGGCATCTTGTTAATTAATTGAGCAATTATCAAAACTACTTTCCCTTATAAGTGTTTGTGACATTCATTGCGATCATCAAGCTTCAGGATACATATAGGTGTTTATTCTTCCTCTTTGTTACACCATTCTGTGTTTGTGTGCATAAACATGTGATTTGATGTTGTAACCCTCGGGCTGACAAATATTCTTTAAATTTTTTGTTGGTATACTCTGCCCCATTATCAGACCTCAACACATTTACTACATCATATTGAGTCTAGATTTCATGAAAATCCATAAAGCAAACAAATACATCACCCTTATTTTTTATCAAATATAACCAAATAACACGAGAAAAACAATCAATAAATGTAACAAAATATTGATAACCATTCATAGAACTTGAAGAAAAAGGTCCCTAAAGATCAAAATGTATCAAGTCAAAAACATCAGAAATTCTATTCCTAAACTGATATAGGAGCTCCTAATATGTTTGTCAAACTCACACGCATCACGAAGAAGCTTTTATTTATTTGAATTTTCATATAAAGAATGATACAACCTACTCAATGAATTAAAATAAGAGTGTCTCATGCATCGGTGATGTAGCAACAACACATCTTTCACACTCCTCCCGAATTCTCCTAATCCAGCACTCTCTACAATGGATGTCAAAATTGAGTACTTCCCCTCCCAGTTCAAATACTAGAGTCAACTATGCTAAGTTTCAGTCCCAAGTATCCAACCAGCCCCTTTCTCTTGGAAAATCACTTTAGAAATATCAAAAGAAACAACAATTTTTAATTAGAGAATAATAACACTAACGAGAAAAAGTTTTACCGGAAAATAAGCATGCAAAATATTAAACAAAATCATACAATTGATGCCCCTCACTGTATCTTACCAACTACAGACTATGTTGTATCATTAGCAATCTAGAAGCTCTCTAGTACTGCTAGAAGAGTATAGGAAGAAGGCTCTCTAGCAGTACCTATTTAATGTCAAGATACGCCAGAATCAACTATTCATTCTAATGATCTTGTGACGAAAATAGAGGCAAGAGCATGTGCATCATAAGTACCTTTGTTAGAGTGAGCATAAGTGACAATGTCACCTTTTGATGACGACTGGTGGAAAGCATCCTCCACCCGATCTTCTGTTGTTTTTTGCTTCATCTTTAACAACTTCAAATACTCATGATCCTCATTGGTAAAAGCCGCACCTGTCTCTCCCTCCTCTGCTACCATCAAATTTGCCCGGTATCCCACTTTTCCACCTTTTCGACCACAACGACCACGACCGC